TTGCGTGGATCTGTCGTAGTGATAATACCGACCATTTTGATTCGTAACTGGACGAATTTGGTATCACAGAAATATGTTGGGGGGGGGGGGGGGGGGTATTGCCGAGCGACCAGCGTTGCCGAGGGGAAGGGTGTCAAGGAATGCTGGAGGTTTCCTTCGGTGAGACGAATGAGAAAAAGATGAGAAAGGCAGTGGCAGGAGGGCCGTGTTTAGTGCATATCCCTTCTGTAGCTATTGGTGATGCCCTACTTACAACTGCAGCATCACAGACCATCGAGCAGACTCGAGAACACGACTCGACCAGAAGTGAAGATGCACGTAAAGCTTTAATGGGCCCCTCTGGAACACACCGGACCTGACGTATACACGTGTACATAGTCACTACATCCAGAAATGAGATGCACTGTGCAGGAACGCACTAATTAAGTCCCCAGTTGATATTTGAAATTCACACAAACCATTCTCTCTCCTGATCCAGTTTCCAAACGACCATCCCTACCTTGTCCCTCCGCATCACCCGGCCCTGTTCCCCGCGTCTTTCCCGCGCAGCATGGAAGTCTCCACCTCCTCGGAGGCGGCGGAGCTAGTGCTTCAAGAGCGCAAGAAGCAGCGCGAGCTAGAAGCGCGCAACCAAAAGGCCCCCCCTGTTCCGCTCGCGGCGCCGGCCCTGGAGACGGTGTCAGTGCCCAAATGGGAGGGCGCAGACGAAGGCGAGGTAGACGAGTCCGAGCTGGACCGGCGCCAGCGCGCCATCTCGGACCGTCTGGACCGACGCCAGCGCGAGATTCACCGCCAGTCCAAGGAGCTCACGCGCGTGCGCGCGGAGCTCAAGGCCCTCGAGGAGCCCATCAAGGCCGAGATCATGCAGCTGCGCGAGCGCCTGGAGGACTCCAACCGCAGAGAGAAAGCCCTGGTCGAAGCCGTCAACGCGCTGCGGAAGGACTTGTTTGAAAAGGAGGGCGGGTTGAAGGACGTTCGCGAGGAAAAACAGGGCCTTGCGGATAGTTTGATAAAGGTCATGGCCGATTATGAAAAGAGGAAGACCGAACGCCTCAATGCAATCGCAGACTTGGTGGGGGGAGACGGCGGGCACACCCGCCCGAAGCACCCTCCGTCCAATTTCACTGGCTTTTGAAGATATGCGCTTGCTTGCATGCCACAGTCTTACACGTCCTCGGATGATCAAGGTGCTCGCGATACGGAATCTTTGAGTTGCAGTGCTACGACACCCACCCTTTGTCGAAAGTAATCGCGACAGGCTTCTCAACTTGTGCTTGCTCTCTCCTTCCAACGCTTCGCGCAATACGTTGTGTGCAACCGGCTGCGTCGGCACCCAGAGCGCCCCTCTGCGCGTCTAGCGTTCCCTGAACGAACTATGTTTAACTCACGAATACGCAATATGTAAATACAACAAACTTTAAATGCAAGCCGTCTACGTTCAAAATGTATCTCAAGTTTCCGTCTACGATGACATGACATCACCGCGGAAGAGCGCGAAGCTTTGAGTCGGCGTGCTCACCAGTTTCCTGGTTGCCAGTTCCGCCATGCGCATGATCTATAGCATCAAGTTGCTCTCCTGAACGTGCTGGGGTGTCGCCTGCAGTTGCTGCGTTTGGTGACTCGCAGCTCGATATTCTTCGTATCAACTTAGGAGCACTGCGAGGAGTGTCGTTAACTCGTTGATGCAAATCCTTATCGTCGAGCTTCGCCTCTTCTGCCTTCCGCTTTCGCCCTTTTGAAGCTGGCGTCCGCGGTTCCGTTGGCATGTGGTGCAACGCATTGAAGTTGAGCTCGCGCCGCACTTTGGTCGTATCCCTAGGTGCACTGGGGATGTTGGTGCGCTCCCGGAACGGAGTAGTCGATGCACAAAGCGGGACCACACCTGTGGACCACTGCATGATGTCCCTGCCCCGTGGTCGACCGCTGGGGATAAAAGGGGTCGCAGGGGATGGCCACGGAGCCGGTGAACCCAACAAGTTGGATGCAGCGCCTGTGGCGGTGATTGGGCGCACAATAGGAAGCTCGCTTTCACGCTTGCCGTCTTTTTGAGTTGAAGGGGAGGCAGAAACCATTTCCGCCGAGCGCACCATCGGAGTATTGCATTGCTCGAAAGGTTGTGAGAGCTGACCGACGACCCCTGGGCTCGCCATGGCTTCGCCTGGCGTTCGTTTACAAATGTTCAGCCTTGAGATATTCACATGTTCCAACTGCGGCGTGTTCACCAAGACTGGGTCCACTGTCGGACTACCCGACCCTTTCTCAATTTTGAACGCCGTCACCTCAGTGCTTGGGTTAGCTACTCTTACAGCCAAGGAGCAGTCTTTTTCCCATGCCTTTGACGACGCTGCGAGGTGAGGGTTTTCTTCGATGAGGACCCTGGCAACGCGAATAGCATCGTCTGTTCTCATTGATATTCTGTGCTGCTCCACGCAGACACGTATCGGAAATTCATCCGCAGTGACTTTTCGATACTGCCGTTGCTGCGCTCGCACCTTGAATTTGTCCATACTCTCCTGCGTCTGCAAATACGTAGTGGGCACTTCTGAAAACGAAAGCTGTAACGCAGAAACGGCCCCGCCTCTAAACAGCTGAATGTTTGCGACACTACTGAAGTTCATTTCCATTTTTGCGTAGGGCCCGCCCGTCTTCTTCGCTTGGACAAAGTCCTCACCGCAGTACCACTCGTACACAATGCGCTTTTTCCCAAACAGAAACTTAACTTCCAAGCCCCTATCCGCGGAGGGGTTGTCCCCAATCTCCCCGCAGATCTCGCTCGAGCCCATGACGACACGACTATTGCGAATGCGCAGCGGCGTTATCCGAAATCTGTTAGGCTGAGGTTGCAAAGACGCGGGCGCAGCACCAGCACAAGGCCGACCCGTGACGGGCGATGCAGACGGGGCCCACGCAATGGCGCTGGGGGTGACATTGACGAAGATAGTGCTCTCAAATAGGCCCTTTACAGTGTTGTTCGGGGACGGGACATCCTTTTCCCCTTTTCCAGCGTGATTGCACGCAGATGGCGTGCCTGGGGACGCGATGGCATAGCCCGGCAGGACAACGGGCTCCTCACTCGGATCGGCTGTTGGAAACAGGGCGAAAGGCGGGGCCGGTGGGCTATCTGCGGGATTCCTGGACACGTCGATGCCCAGTTTGCGATCTAAGGCGCGGCGATTATTATACCACGTGCGGACCTTCTCCGTGCCCTTACCGAGAGTCCTGCCTATGGTCTGCATGTGCAGTCTGGAAGGAAACTTGTTGCGGGCATAGTTGGCCTCCAGGACCCTTTTCTCCGGGGCCGAGAAGACGCGGGCGCCCTTGCGCTTATCGGACTGGCTCGAGAGCGGGGAGGCTTCGTGAACGGTAATAACGGCAGACGACGTGGTGAAGGTGCTCCCAGGCAGGGAGGCGGCGCGACGGATGGCCAAGGGAGGGAGAGGGGGGGGAGTGGGGAGCGGTGGCGGGAGAGGGGGAGGTGGGGGGACTGCGGAGGGTGTAGGTTGCGAGTGAATGGGAGTTAGAGGAGTGGGGCTGGGAGTTGGGATCTGCGGGGGTGAGGAGGTGCGGTTGGCGGGCGGGGTGGTGGCTGTGGCGGCCTCGACGGCTGCGAGAAGGGAGTTCATGGGTAGAGGAAGGAATAAAGGGGGGCCTGGTGTGGGCGAGGGATGGTAGGCAGCAAAGGAAGTAGGATGGTGAGAGACCGCAGGTGCGACGGGCGAGTAGGGGCAGTGATAGGCAGGTCTGCAGCGGGCGCGCCGCGGGTGTCATAGGGTGGGGACAGAGGTTTGAAGATGTGCAAGAGGGAGAGGAGGGGGTTTGTTAGAGGAGAAGGGCAGAGCGAGGTGACTTCGGAGGGGAGAGGGACGGTAAAGAGAAGATGGGGTAGAGGAGATAAGTATTGAAGGAGAAGGAGACCGCGCGCGGGCTCAGGAAATTCGGCCACTTGGGCTGTGCCGATGCATACCTCTTCCGGTCAATTTTGGCGCCAAGACCCTAATTCTGGCAGCTCGCTGCAGTTCGAATATTTCTCACAATTCACCATACAGCAAGGACCCCTTGATCGGGGCCTTCTGCTGCTGCGCCACCGCCCACCGAGACAGACTTCTGCTTCCCAAACACTTTCAACCTTTTGTACTTGTCTTGGCTCGCTCTTTGTCCTTCCTTCTTCTGCACATGTCTTTTGCTCGATGAGAAAAGAAAAGGTAGTCTCAATGCCGGAACGGAGCATTAGGCATCCATGAAACCGTGTTTATTTGATATGGCACCTTTGAAACTGAACGCACAATTCAAAAACCATTGATTTCGCCTGCTTGCAATTTTTCCAAAACTGCTATCCCGGCGATATGCAAGATGCTCATGCCAGGGGAAATTCGTCAAGGAACGGAAGGAAGAGATGTGCGAGTTGCACATCAAAGAATTTATGCATTTCTACCACCAAACAAGCTGACTGTTCACAAGACATCACAGTAGAAGGTCGCTCTTAGATACGTTAGTGAAAATCAACAATACCCTTTTTGTCCACCGTGTCTCTTAGACACTTGTTCTCATTTGAAGATTCAAGATTCACGAAACGAATTAGTTGAGTTCTTGGCATAATCGCAACGCGAATCGGTCTTGACACGATGTTGAGGTCCGCCGAGCGCGGGTGGGAAAGCTCCCAGAATCTATATTATGGCTATCAAGCCGAAGTTTTTCAGATACGAAGACAAATGCTTAAGAGCAGCGGGACTGAGTATGTTCACCAGTGGCGACATGGGCCCGTTCATGGGTGACATGAAGTTGTTCAGCAAGAGAGACGCGATGACATGCGGCGGGCCCTCACGCTAGTGTCTAAACGCAAGCGATTTGACCTCATATGAGGCCAGCTTTTTTTTTGCAAAAATATATACATTAAATCGAAACTTTATAAAGTTAGTTTGGACACCATTTCTTTAACGTATATGCCCTCGGCAATAACATCTTGCAAAACATTGGGATGGCAGTTGTCAATACACAGAGAGACTAATAAGAATCTAATGAAGTTTCAATGATCAGTTGACTTTTTAAACAGGCGTTTTGGTTTCGAAGATATCAACGTAAAACGTTTTGAGGTTGGTCAAAAAGGCTTCTTTTTCAGGCATTCTAAAAATGGCCGGAAAAGACGTGCAGATCTCACCGAACTCCACCCTTCCGCAACGCAGAAGTCAACTGCGATGGCGTGAGTATCTTTTTCCATCTTGTTGAGCCAGCACAAGTCGAGAAAAAATAAGTTGAAAAGTGACCTCATATGAGGTCATTTGTCGTCTAGACACTAGCCAATACTACGGCAGCGTTCTTCTCTCCCCTTGGTCAGGAGGTACAGGAGATTGGCGACAAACCAATGCACGATCGCAACGAGGGCCCCGGGGGCAGGGAGACGCTATCCTTAAGGGTACAGTTATAGCGATGCGCAACGTGGCCAGTGTCACGGCACACTTTCAGACGCATGATTGAAGTGGTCTTTTGCGTTGTACGACGCCCTTGGTACAGTGCACACCTTTGAGGTGTGTACCGTAGGCAACAGAAATGCGCTGTTGAGGGCGCAGTGGCGAAAATGTGCCCAAGCCTCCATCACATTTTCTGAAATCGTCTGTTTTCTACTACGTGCAAAACAAGGTACCTTGACCAGCTGCAGTAATGAAGGAGAGCTTGCGATTGCTACACAGAACATGTAATTGTGAAGCAAAGTCATGCGAACACTCTCTTCCGATAATAAGCGGACTGCGGTCGCATTATGGTGGAGAACGTTTGCCCCGTATTTTGCCAGAGCGAGCCATGAAGCTCCGCAATCACGGGCACGCTTCGGATTGAATAATGGGCAAACGAAAAACATTTAGCACTCGCAGGCTCGGAGTACCGAGGTCATGAAAGGGTGCCGTCGTCCAACAATTTCTCAACAGATACTGCAGTTTTATAAAGATGAGAAAACCCTCGATGCAAAAAAAAAAGATGCATGGGATTTCGAACTAGAGCCATTTCACTATTAAAGTTGTCCCGAAGTCAAAAAGAGAGTCTCTTTCCTGTGCATAGTGCATATTGAGCGTCACCCGCCAGGCGCTGGTTGGAATAGTATAAAAAAAGGTAGGTGCACGACGTGCAGCATGCAACGGTCAGCCGACATACCTACGCGGAAGACTGGGCGTCACCCTGAGTATGCCGGCGCTGGAGATATAGCGAAGGCCGCGGACCAAAACCCAGCCTCTGACGACAACTGTACGTAGGCGAAAACATAATATTGTAAAGCACATTGCTGAGCGTCGACCTCACAATGAATGTAATCTTGGACTGCTGTGATTGCCGATTGCCCTTCTCTTCGCATCGCACCAAAATACTAATGCTTGGGGATCACTCGACCCATACGGTGTGTCGCAAAATGAAATTCGATCGTAAAGTAGATATTTGGTTTAGTGTTCCTACAGTATGAAGGGCTAGCCTCATAGTACGTGAGGGAAAAGAAGAGTCCTATACCGAAGTGTAGATAGCGCGTAAGCAACGACTCCATTTAAGTTCATTCCCGAGTTCATGCCCAAGAGCCTTCTTTGATAGGACACGCTGCAGTCTTATGGCCTCAAAAATCATGATCTCTCTTCAGTTGAATTCTCTTCAATCTCATCTCCTCATATTCAAACTAGTCTATTTTGTGTTTCTGCTCATCTCTTCCACACATACGCTATCTATTAAGAGAAGTCGCAGTATAACCTCTCATGCCGTGGACCGTGCATCTTGAAGCAGCGACGTGCTTCGAAAACGCATCAGAGTGTATACTGTATCGGTCCAAAAAGAGCAATTATTATTGAAACGAGGTCGCTCGTGTGCTGTACGTACAGTGCGGCAAATCAAAATCATCTTCCCCGTCTCGCCTTCCCAAAAATTCCCATTTCACTTCTTTCTTGCTTCAAAATATAGTTCATCAGATCTACGTGTTGAATACTTGGTAATCCGGCTTTGGAAACTAAAAATACTATATCTGTGTCTCTACGCACAACATCATTGCGACGCTAGATTTCAATTCATTGTCACATGCTCTATTTCGCATCTAGTCTTTAAAAACAAGCTTTTTAAAAAAAGTAATTCCAACAGTCTGATCCCACAGAATGCAAACAACGAATGGTTTTACACCCGAAAAAGACGTGTGCCTCATATCTCCTACTCACGAATCGTTCGTATTGGATCGACTGTCTGGGCAGTCGCATCTGTGGACAGCACCAAGGCCGACAGCGTCTGTCTACACCAACTGCATCGTAATATTTTCGTGTTTCCGTTCCAAAACGGGCAAAGATGAAAGCTGACTCTCTCATTTTGTTCCCACCATGAACAGCCAAATACTCCCATAAGTAGAGAAAAATGCTGCTCGGGTTCGCCACGAAATCAACCATTGTCGGTAGCTTTTATGTAGCTCTTGCCTATGAGTATATAAACTGTTGTCAGTGCAATGGCCAACGCTGAGAAAATCTAGGCAGCCAGTCAACTCGGAAAGTGTTTCTCGTTCTCAGCTTCAACGTCTCTCTCTCGGATTGTGTGGAAACTCGAGCTACCTGCAGCATTTTGTTTTTATCACCTTGAAGAAAGAGTTCCCATCATGTTTTATGGATCGACGATGGTTCTCCGCCAACTCTACTACTATATGGAGATCGAGATCGCAGTTGCTGAATATTTGGGCGACGGCATCATAGAATCCGCCGCCAAAATTCAGCGATGCTTCACGGGAAAACGGGGACGCTAAAGAATTGAGGAAACGATCAAGTCTTCATTTTGCATGTTGTTTTGTTGTTGTTGTTTTTGTTAGTAGTTATTGTTTGTTGAAACACATTGGATCTGAGTGGTAATCTTGGTTTCAAGCATGTCATCTACCGTCATCGGTCATCTACTCGTCGGAGAGCCGTTTGTGAGTATCATCCAAAATCAAGTGCCTCACGCCCTGCCATCGCCTAATTTTGGATATATACCCCGCATACCCCACCCCAGGACTAGCAGACCTCACCGGAATGGAATCGCTTCAGCCGGAAAGGGAATCGTGAAGAATAGGTGCTTCTAGTTTCTGTGACGCTCCCCCGGGGTCTAGACTTTCTGATCAGCTGCTTCATCGTCATCATCATCATCCTCTCCATCATCTCCATCCTCCTCCTCCCCCTCCCCCTCCTCGTCTACTTCCTCTCCCCCCTCTTCCCGCTGCGGAAACGGATTCATCTCAAACGGAAGCGGAATACCGAAAAACTTGGGGGGCTGCTCGGTGATCTGTCTGCGGGACTCCTCACTGGCTGCTCTGACACTCCTGAGCTCCTCCTCCTTCTCTGCAACGCATCGGACTGCGTTCTGCATTACAAGTTCGGCCTGCCGGATCCTGTTTTCCTCCTGCTCGATCTCCCTAGCTTTCTGCCGCTCCATCTCGGCCAAGCGCAGTCGGCGAACCTCCGCCCTAGCGACGCTAAGCATCTCGGTAGCCTGTGCCCTGACGCTGGCCCATGACATCGTGCCAAGCCCACAAGTGATGAAGCCGCCCATGACGAGCTCCGCGCCGCTGAAAGGCTCGCCCAGCTCACACAGGACGTACCCGCCGAAGAAGCACAGCAGTGGCAGCGAGACGACGTGTGTGAAGACCGATGCCATGGCACCGTCCAGCACGCGGTCAAAGACGTACAGGCTGTCGGCCTCCATGGCAGCGCGCACGGCGCGTAGCGAGCCGTCCGCCACGGCGTCATCTTGCGACGGGGCGTCCTCGAACGGGCCGGGCGGCTTGGGGAGAAGTCGCGACGCCTCGTGTGCGTGGGGTTGGTCGGGCGTGGTGGCAGCGACGGCGGCCGCGGTGGACGTGGCGGGCGTGTCGACGCGGGTGACGCCGTCCATGAGGGCCAGGGCGGACGCGACGGAGTCGGACAGGGCCGGGGCGTCGGTGGCGAGGTCGAGCGCGAGCGGCTTGGCGGCGTGGACGTCGGCGTTGCACAGGGCGCGCAGGTGGGCCAGGTTGGCCGCGACGTCGAGGCGGTTGGCGTTGGCGGCGATGAGGGCGGTGGAGAAGACGGTCAGCGAGACGACGGCCAGGACGCCGCGCACGAGCGGGTTGAGCGCCGGCACGCGGAACGGGAGCGAGACGAGGACGCAGGCGAGGAAGGAGAGGAGGAGAAGCGAGAGGCAGAGGAAGATGGAGGCGAAGCGCCGCACGAGGGTCAGAGGGGCTTCGACGAGAGCGCGGGCCGCGGGGGGGACCAGCGCGGGGGTGAAGGGGCGGGTCAGAGACATGGTCAGAGGGCCGAGGCGGATGCGGCGCGGGGATGAGGGGGAGGACATTGTGAGATGGGGGAGAGGTGCGCGGAGGTGCGGAGAGGGGAGGGGAGGGGAGGTGAGGAGCGGTGAGGTGAGGTCGGGGGTAGCGGGGGAGGAGGGTGGAAGTTAGGGTGGGTTGGGGAAGGGTGGGTCAAGTGAACGGCGGGGCAGGACGGGGAGAAGGGTGGAGCGAGTGCTGGGGAGTGGGCGTGTGTGGGGACATGTCTGCGAGGTTGGGGCCGGGGCAAGTGTGTTGGATGACTTGGGAGCGACGAAGGGTGCGATAGTAAGATGACGAAAGGTGTTTCAGTAGCAAGTAAAGTAGTGCGGGTGTGAATTGGAATTGCAGTGTCTGTTCGCGACGGGAAGGCGGGGCAGGTGCTCGTCCCGCATCGTAGAGCGGCGCGCCAGTCAGCTCTGCGCCCACGTGTGCAACGTGCGCGGCGCTGCACGCGCGTCGCCGCACACGTGGCGCGCGACACGTGGCACGGGCGAGAAATCTGCGGGGCGATCTGCCATTGCCAGCAAATCAGCTCCCGCGAGATTGCATCCCGCCAATCGCCTTCCACGCGTTCCACCCCAACCTTCCACCGCGCCCCATATAAAAGGCGGAGAGCCCCCCCCCCCCGTGGCAATTTGGGAAGTTGGAGAGGCCCATAGCGCATTGGGCGATACAGCGGATCAATTCGGAAGCGTGTACAAGATTGGGGCTCTGGAGTTCGACAACTGCAGTTGTATTGCGATGCGCGCAGTTTCGTCTTGTGTGCCTTGCAGGCTGACACGCGTATCCTTTTTCGATAGCATCACAAAGGCTTCGAGGCATGCGGTTGGTGCAGTCTGATAATTCGATGATTTTGGGTCTGTCCCTGCCGCCACATAGCTACC